CCGAAAGAGTCCAGGGAGAGAGAAACCCCGCCCCCCCCGAAAGAGTCCAGGGAGAGAGAAACCCCGGCCCTCACCTTTCCTCAGACACGGGTATGTGGCAAGTGACTCAGCACCGATTCTCTGGGTTCCCAGGGGATGCTCCGCCCCTGCTCTGCTCCAGCCCCGCCCTCACTAGGGATGTGACTTCCCGCGTAAAAAGTTAGCTGGCTGAACGCTATGGTTAACCCCGGAGCAGCCCCTCCTCTCCCCTGCCCCACTGCGGGGGGGCCCAGCTGGAGAAGCCCCCACCCACGGCGTGATGTGGTGGGCCCAGCCGGGCCAGAACAGCCTGCCCACAGCAGGGGGTGGGTGGAGGCTACTCCAGCCCGACCTGGGCTGCTGCCTCCGGACGGGCCAAGCCCGCCACGCCACACCATGGGCTGCTCCAAGCTGCCGGTTAACCAGTTACCGGGGTAAGCATGCTGGGAAGGCTGATCATTACCGGGTAACTGGTTAACCCTTTACATGCTTAACCCCCGCCCCGCCACACTTCCTGCCCCTCCTCTTCCCAGCCCTGCTTTGCCCCATCCCCACCTCTTCTTGCCCCCACTTCCTGTCCCGCCTCTTCCTGACCCCGCTCTGCCCCTCTCCCACCTCTTCCTGCCCCTACTCCTCCTCCAAACCGCCACTCCGGCCCCAATCCCCCATCTCCATTGGCCTCAATCCCCTGCCCTCCACCTCTCAGCCCCATTGGCCCCAATCCCCCATCGGCCTCAATCCTCTGCCCTCCACCTCTCAGCTCTCCCCTGCCTCTTCTTGCCCCACCCCTTCTCCTCTCCCTCCCTGCATCTCCTGCATGCCACAGAACAGCTGCCCACAGCAAGTGGGAGGCACTGGGGGGGGGGCACAGAGGGGAGGGGTTCCCCAGCATGGGGGGCTCCAGCCCCGGAGCATCCATGGAGTTGGCATTTAGGACTGGGCCATCTCCCCTGGACCTCCCTGTGGGCTGAAGTTTCAGGCTCCGGCACTGGGAGCCTGGTCCATGTCCCCAGCCTTATTCTAGCAACAGGAGGGAACTTCCGCCCTCTCCCGATGGCAACTTTGTGCCCCCAAAGCCGAGCAGCTCCAGCGGGTCAGTGAGAGACTCTCCCCTGCGCTCCCTCGGCACGTGAGTTTCCCTACCCTGCCCCTTCAGCCGGGGCCTCTCTTCCAACCCCTTTACCGGAACAGGTTCCTCTCCAGCCATTTCCTGTCCCTGGTCCGGATCTGGAGCAGCGCGTGGTCTTTGCTTGGCAGCCTGGTGGGGCGAGAAGAGCGGCCGGGGAAGTCTCAGAAGGGGCTTTCGTCTCTTTCACACCCTCGTCCTGTGACCCGGGGCCCCTTCCCTTCTTAGAATCCTAGAGTCCTGGAATAGCAGGACTGGAAGGGACCTCGAGGGGGCCGTCGAATCCAGTCCCCTTGCCCCCACGGCAGGACCCAGCACTGTCTAAACCATCCTTCCTTACAGACTCTGCAACCAGCGCAGGCCCGGCCCCTCTGACCAGGGCTAAACCCACCGAGACAGTTTTAAATCTGCTGCCGAGTGACTGTAACAAACATCAGGAAAGAGCAGAGTCTATAGGTCCTTTTTTATAGGGATTCCACACACACACACCCTCTGGCAGTGTAGGCAGGGTCAATCCCCCCACCTCCCAGCCCCATTGGCCCCAATCCCCCATCTCCATTGGCCCCAATCCCCTACTCCCCACCTCTCAGCCCCCTTGGCCCCAATCCCCCATCTCCATTGGCCCCAATCCCCTACTCCCCACCTCTCAGCCCCCTTGGCCCCAATCCCCCATCTCCATTGGCCCCAATCCCCTACTCCCCACCTCTCAGCCCCCTTGGCCCCAATCCCCCATCTCCATTGGCCCCAATCCCCTACTCCCCACCTCTCAGCCCCCTTGGCCCCAATCCCCCATCTCCATTGGCCCCAATCCCCTACTCCCCACCTCTCAGCCCCCTTGGCCCCAATCCCCCATCTCCATTGGCCCCAATCCCCTACTCCCCACCTCTCAGCCCCCTTGGCCCCAATCCCCCATCTCCATTGGCCCCAATCCCCTACTCCCCACCTCTCAGCCCCCTTGGCCCCAATCCCCCATCTCCATTGGCCCCAATCCCCTACTCCCCACCTCTCAGCCCCCTTGGCCCCAATCCCCCATCTCCATTGGCCCCAATCCCCTACTCCCCACCTCTCAGCCCCATTGGCACCAATCGCCTGCCCCCCCCCCCACCTCTCAGCCCCATTGGCCTCAATTCTCCCCATCTCCCAGCCCCATCGGACCTACTCCCCCAGCCTCCCACTCTGCTAATTCAAGCAAGTAGGACTTTTTCCCGTGTGGTTTATTCATCTGGCATGTGCAGCCTCGGAAGAAGACAGTACAGCCCAGCACTCTACAATCAGCTCGACCTGCTAGTACAAACTTTTCGAGCCAGCTCCCTAGCTGGTGTGACTCCACCTCAGCTCCGTTGATTTTGTCTACACCAGCTCCAGATCTTTTACGCACAGGGACTTTGCTACAGCCTGTCCTGCCAACCCGACGTCTTCGAAAATCATGAGCCAGGCTCCCCAACAGCACACGATGGGCTTTCAGATGGTGAGACTGTGTAAAAGGGACACACGTGCTGGTCTTTGTGGTTGCTTTCTGGTCTTTGAGCCGAGAGGGCCGTGATGGGCAACTGGCCTGCGGGCAGCCCATCAGGGTTCAATGGCTGGCCCACAAGAACTTTCGTTACTGTTGCCCACGTGCGGAGTGGCCGGATTCTGCTGGTTTCCGTTGGCGTCGGGTTTTTCTTGCCACTAAGTGACACACCCATAAAGCCAGGCACGATGTGAGGCGTGTGCTG